TGTGACATCACTACTGAGAGAGAAGTATGACATCACTACTGAGAGTGTAGTGCGACATCATTACTGAGAGTGTAGTGTGACATCATTACTCCGAGTGTAGTGTGACATCATTACTAAGAGAGTAGTGTGACATCATTTCTAAGAGAGTAGTGTGACATAAATATTGAGTGTAGTGTGATATCATAACTGAGAGTGTAGTGCGATATCACTACTGAGAGTGTAGTGTGACATCACGATTGAGAGTGTAGGTTGACATCACTACTGATAGTGTAGTGTGACATCACTGCTGAGAGTGTAGTGTGACCTCACTGCTGAAAGTTAAGTGTGACATCACTACTGAAACTATAGGGTGACATCACTACGGAAAGTGGAGACATCACTACTGAGTGTAGTGTGACATGAGTACTGAGAGTGTAGTGTGACATCAATACTAAGAGTGTAGTGTGACATCACTACTAAACGTGTAGTGTGACATCACTACTAAGAGTGTAGTGTGACATCACTACTGACAGTTTATAGTGACATTACTACAGAGAATATAGTGACATCACTACTGAGAGTGCAGTGTGTCCTCACTACTGAGAGTGAAGTATGACCTGACAAATGAGTGTAGAGTGACATCACTTCTGAAAGTGTTTTCAGACATCACTACTAAGATTTATTGTGACATCAGTACTGAGTAAAGTTTGACATCACTACTGAGAGTGCAGAGTGACATCATAACTGAGTGTAGTGTGACATCACTATTGAGAGTGCAGTGTGAAATCTCTGCTGATAGTGTAGTGTGACATCATTACTAAGAGCGTAGTGTGACATCACTACTGTGAGTGCAGTTCGACATCATTACTGAGTGTAGTGTGACATCACTATTGAGAGTTTAGTGTGACTTCACTACTGATAGTGTAGTGTGACATCACTACTGAGAGTGTAGTGAGACATCACTACTAAGAGTTTAGTGTGACTTCAGTACTGAGTAAAGTGTGACATCACTATGGAAAGTGTTGTGTGTGACATCAATACTTAGTGTAGTGAGATGTCACTACTGAGAGTGTGGTGTGACATCACTACTGGGAGTGCAATGTGACATCACTACTGATAGTGTAGTATGAAATCAATACCAAGAGTATAGTGTGACATCAATATTAAAAGTGTAGCGTGACATCACTATTGAGAGTGTAGTGTGACATCACTTCTGAGAGTATAGTGACATCACTATTGAGAATGTAGTGTGACATCACTACTGAGAGTATAGTGTGACATCCCTACTGAGTGTAGTGTGACATCACTACTAAGAGTGTAATTTGACATCTTTACTGAAAGTGAAATATGATATTATTACTGGGAGTGTAGATTGACATCACAATTGGGAGTGTAGTGTGATGTTACTTGTTACTACTCAGAGTGTAGTGTGGCATCACTACTGAGAGTATAGTGTGACATCACTACTCAGAGTGTAGTGAGACATCAGTACTGAATGTAGAGACACATCACTAATAATAGTGTAATGTGACATCAATACTGAAAGTGTAATGTGACATCATTACTGAGAGTGTAAATTGACATCACTACTGGGAGTGTAGTGTGATATTACTACTCAGAGTGTAGTGTGACATCACTACTGAGAGTGTTGTGTGACATCACAACTGAGAGTGAAGTGTAACACCACTACTGGGAGTGCAGAGTGACATCACTACTGAAAGTGTAGTGCGAAATCACTAGTGAGAGTGTAGTGCGACATCATTTCTAAGAGTGTAGTGTAACATCACTACTGAGAGTGTAGTATGACATCACTATTGAGTGTGGTGTGACATCACTATAAGTGTGAAGAGGTACATCACTACTGAATGTAGTCTGACATCAATACTGAGTGTAGTATGACATTATTACCAAGATTGTAGTGTGACATCACTACTACGAGTGAAATGTGACATCACTACTAAGAGTGTAGTGTGACATTACTGAAAGTGTAGTGTGACCTCACTACTGAGAGTGAAGTGTGATATCTCAGAGAGTGTAGAGTGACACCACTGCTGAGTGTGTAGTGTGACATCACAACTGAGAGTGTAGTGTGACATCACTACTGAGAGTGTAGTGTGACATCACTACTGTGAATATAGTCACATCAATACTGAGTGTGCAGTGTGACATCACTACTAAGAGTGTAGTGTGACATCACTACTAAGAGTTAATTGTGACATCAGTATTGATTTAAGTGTGACATCAGTACTGAGTAAAGTGTTACATTACTACTGACATTGTTGTGTGACATCAATACTGAGTGTAGTGTGACATTAATGCTTAATGAGAAGTGTGACATCACTACTAAAAATGTAGTGTGACATCACTACTGAGAAAGAAGTGTGACATCACTACTGAGAGTGTAGTGCGACATCACTACTGAGAGTGTAGTGTGACATCATTACTCCGAGTGTAGAGTGACATCACTACAGAGGGGGTAGTGTGACATCAATACTGAGTGTAGTGTGACATCATTACTAAGAGAGTAGTGTGACATCATTTCTAAGAGAGTAGTGTGACAATTATTGAGTATAGTGTGACATCACAACTGAGAGTGTAGTGTGACATCACATCTGAGAGTGTAGTGTGACATCACTATTGAAAGTGTATTGTGACATCACCACTGAGAATGTAGTGTGACATCACTATTGAAAGTGTAGTGTGACATCACTACTGAGAGTGTAGTGTGACATCACTACTGAAAGTTAAGTGTGAAATCACTACTGAAAGTATAGGGTGACATCTCTACTGAAAGTGGAGTGAGACATCACTACTGAGAGTGTAGTGTGACATCAGTACTGAGTGTAGTGTGACATCACTACTGAAAGTGTTGTGTGACATCACTACTAAGAGTGTAGTGTGGCATCACTACTAAGAGTTTTGTGTGACATCACTACCGACAGTGTAGAGTAACATTACTACAGGGAGTATAGTGACATCACTACTGAGAGTGCAGTGTGACCTCACTACTGAGAGTGAAGTGTGGCCTGACTATTGAGTGTAGAGTGACATCACTTCTGAGAGTGTAGTCAGACAACACTACTAAGATTTTAGTGTGACATCAGTACTGAGTAAAATGTGACATCACTTCTGAGAGTGTAGTGTGACATCATAACTGAAAGTGTAATGTGACATTACTATTGAGAGTGCAGTGTGACATAACTACTGAGAGTGAAGTGTGACATCACTACGGAGAGTGCAGTGTGACATCATTACTGAGTGTAGTGTGACATCACTATTGAGAATGCAGTGTGACATCACTACTGATAGTGTAGTGTGACATCACTACTGAGAGTGTAGTGTGACAGCACTGCTGAGAGTGACTTGTGACATCACTACTGAGAGTGTAGTGTGACATCACTACTGAGAGTGTAGTGCGACATCACTACTGAAAGTGTAGTGCGACATCACTACTGAGAGTGTAGTATGACATCACTATTGAGAGTGTAGTGTGACTTTCACTACTGAGAATATAGTGACATCACTACTGAGAGTGCAGTGTGACATCACTACTGAGAGTGTAGCGTGACATCATTACTAAGAGTGTAGTGTGGCATCACTACTGAGAGTGCAGTGCGACATCATTACTGAATGTAGTGTGACATCACGATTGAGTGTAGCGTGACATCACTACTGATAGTGTAGTGTGACATCACTACTGAGAGTGTAGTGTGACAGCACTGCTGAGAGTGACTTGTGACATCATTACTGAGAGTGTAGTGTGACATCACTACTGAGAGTGTAGTGCGACATCACTACTGAAAGTGTAGTGCGACATCACTACTGAGAGTGTAGTATGACATCACTATTGAGAGTGTAGTGTGACTTTCACTACTGAGAATATAGTGACATCACTACTGAGAGTGCAGTGTGACATCACTACTGAGAGTGTAGTGCGACATCACTACTGAGAGTGTAGTGTGACATCACTTCTGAAACTACTGAGCTGGGGAGAATGGTCTTATTGCAACATTCGCTCCAAATCGAAAAATATCTTTAACTATAACGTAGCTTACCATTAATGTAGTCTGTCCTCTCCCTCACCCTCTCAAATATAGCCTAAACCCTCTCAAATAGTCTAAGCCCTCTCAAATATAGCCTAAGCCCTCTCAAATAGTCTAAGCCCTCTCAAATATAGCCTAAGCCCTCTCAAATATAGCCTAAGCCCTCTCAAATATAGCCTAAGCCCTCTCAAATATAGTCTAAGCCCTCTCAAATATAGTCTAAGCCCTCTCAAATATAGTCTAAGCCCTCTCAAATATAGCCTATGCCCTCTCATATATAGTCTAAGCCCTCTCAAATATAGTCTAAGCCCTCTCAAATATAGCGTAAGCCCTCTCAAATACAGCCTAAGCCCTCTCAAATATAGTCTAAGCCCTCTCAAATATAGTCTAAGCCCTCTCATATATTGTCTAAGCCCTCTCAAATATAGCCTAAGCCCTCTCAAATAGTCTTAGCCCTCTCAAATATAGTTTAAGCTCTCTCCAATATAGTTTAAGCCCTCTCGTATATAGTCTAAGCCCTCTCAAATATAGCCTAATCCCTTTCAAATATAGTCTAAGCCCTCTCAAATACAGCCTAAGCTCTCTCAAATACAGCCTAAGCCCTCTCAAATATAGTCTAAGCCCTCTCAAATATAGTCTAAGCCCTCTCAAATATACTCTAAGCCCTCTCAAATATAGCCTAATACCTCTCTAATATCGTCTTAGCCCTCTCAAATACAGCCTAAGCCCTCTCAAATACAGCCTAAACCCTCTCAAATACAGCCTAAGCCCTCTCAAATACAGCCTAAGCCCTCTCAAATATAGTCTAAGCCCTCTCAAATATAGTCTAAGCCCTCTCAAATATCTTCTTATACTATAGTTTATAGTAAAAAAAAACATTTTTATTTACAAATGTGCAAGAAGATAATTCAGTTAAGTTCAAAGTGTCCTTCAGTGGGCGGAAGTTCGCTATATACTACATATATTACCTGGCTTTACCTGATAGTGATAAAGTGTGTGTGTGGCTCACCAGTGGACCTGCCCCAGCTGCCTCCCGTCAGGAGCTGTGGCGAGTGAATGATTTTGTCTCCACACACACACACGGGGTGGCCTCACGCAGTGGCTGGTCGAGTCGCCCGCCAACCTCCCCACAACCTGCACCTATTGTGCATTGTAACCCAGCATTTCCTAAAGTATACGCCTCATGCTATGATATACTAGAACTTGTATGTTTAGCTATGTAATTATCTGTATTTAATGTACGTATGAGAGGCATTTATATGGATGAATGATTCGAACGTGAATGGGGAAGAGGAAGTACTGTTTGGAATACTAGCGGACGTCGTCAGCTGTTGGCGGTGTGTAGAGTATTCTTCACTGATGAATAGTGAGTGTGGCGGGTGGCTCAACCAGCACGTGGGCATTGCTTATGGTGACGTGTTGCTGGCCGCGTTCAGGGGCTACGTGCCGGCTTCTGCAATGTCACCGGATGTAAAATACATTGCATTTCAATGCTGAATTGTTGTTTAATAGAATATATTCTGTGTCTAATATTCAGATAATCTCTACACCAAGGGGATACTTCCGCTTGGTCTGAGAACTGTGAACTACTCTTGAGCTGGTTGAGCCGTCGGTAGAGCGATGGTCTCGCTTCATGCAGGTCCGCGTTCAATACCCTACAGTAAAAGTGGTTGGGCACCATTCCTTCCCCCCGTCCCATCCCAAACCCTAATCCTGACCCCTTCCCAGCGATATATAGTCGTGATAACTAGGTGCTTTCCCCTCATTATTCCCTCCACCCCCTACATTGTTTAGTTTAGTTCATTTATTATGCAACCCATACCCATCTTGTAGGGGGTAGTGGACCCCATACCCATCTCGTGGGCGGTAGTGGACCCCATACCCATCTTGTGGGCAGAAGTGGACCCCATACCCATCTTGTGGGCAGTAGTGGACACCATACCCATCTTGTAGGGGGGGTAGTGGACCCCATACCCATCTTGTGGGCGGTAGTGGACCCCATACCCATCTTGTGGGCAGTAGTGGACCCAATACCCATCTTGTGGGCGGTAGTGGACCCCATACCCATCTTATGGGCAGTAGTAGACCCCATACCCAACTTGTGGGCGGTAGTGGACCCCTTATCCCTCTTGTGGATGGTAGGAGATCCCATATCCATCTTGTGGGTGGTAGTGGACCCCATACCCGTCTTGTAGGTGGTAGTGGACTCCATACCCATCTTGTGGGCAGTAGAGGACCCCAAACCCCTCTTGTGGATGGTAGGGGACCCCTTACCCATCTTGTGGGTGGTAGTGAACCCCATACCCATCTTGTGGGTGTTAGTGGACCCCATACCCATCTTGTGTGCAACAGGGACCCCACACCCATCTTGTGGGTGGTAGGGGACCCTATACCCATCTTCTGGGTGGTAGGGGACCCAATACCCATTTTGTGGGTGGTAGTGGACCCCATACCCATCTTGTAGGCAGTAGTGGACCCCATGCCCATCTTGTGGTTGGTAGTGGACCCCATACCCATCTTGTGGGTGGTAGGGGACCCCATACCTATCTTGTGGGTGGTAGTGGACCCCATATCAATCTTGTCGGCAGCAGGGACCCCATAACCATCTTGTGGGTGGTAGTGGACCACATAAACGTCTTGTGGGTGGTAGTGGACCCCATACCCATCTTGTGGGTCGTAGGGGACCCCTTACCTATCTTGTGGGCAGTAGTAGACCCCATATCAATCTTGTGGGCGGCAGGGACCCCATACCCATCTTGTGGGTGGTAATGGACCCCATACATATCTTGTGGGTGGTAGAGGACCATATACCCATCTTGTAGGTGGAACAGGACCCCATACCCATCTTGTGGGCGGCAATGACCCCCATATCCATCTTGTGGGAGGTAGTGAACCCCTTACCCATTTTGTGGGCGGTATTGGACCCCATACCCATCTTGTGGGTGGTAGGGGACCCCATACCCAACTTGTGGGTGGTATAGTGGACCCCATACCCATCTTGTGGGTGGTAGTGGACCCCATACCCATCTTGTGGATGGTAGGGGACCCCTTACCCAACTTGTGGGTGGTAGGGGACCCCATACCCATCTTGTGGGTGGTAGTGGACCCCATACCCATCTTGTGGATGGTAGGGGACCCCTTACCCAACTTGTGGGTGGTAGTGGACCCCATACCCATCTTGTGGGCAGTAGTGGAACCCATACCCATCCTGTGGGTGGTAGTTGACTCCATTCCCATCTTGTGGGCAGTAGTGGACCCCACACCCATCATGTGTGCGGTTGTGGACCATATGCCCATCTTGTGGGCGGTAGTGGACCCCATACCCATCTTGTGGGTGGTAGTGGACCCCATACCCTTCTTGTGGGCGGTAGGGGACCCCATACCCATCTTGTAGGGGGTAGTGGACCCCATACCCATCCTGTGGGCTGTAGTAGACCCCATACTCATCCTGTGGGTGGTAGTGGACCCCATACCCATCCTGTGGGTGGCAGTGGACCCCATACCCATCTTATGGCGGTAGTGGACCCCATACCCATCCTGTGGGTGATAGCGGACCCCATACCCATCTTGTGGGGGATAGTGAACCCCATACCCATCCTGTAGGTGGTAGTGGATCCCATACTCATCCTGTGGGTGGTAGTTGACCCCATACCCATCCTGTAGGTGGCAGTGGACCCCGTACCCATCCTTCGGGTGGTAGCGGACCCCATACCCATCTTTTGGGCGGTAGGGGAAACAACGCCCATCCTGTGGGTGATAGGGGACCCCACGCCCATCTTGTGGGGGGTAGTGAACCCCTTACCCATCCTGTAGGTGGTAGTGGATCCCATACCCATCCCGTGGGTGGTAGTGGAAAGGGTTACAGAGGCACATAATGGGCTCAGGGACTTAACCCCACAATTCATTTAGCTAAACAAGTTACAGTCTTGATGAGCTAGTTACAAAATTCAATACGCATCGTCAAATAAACAATGGGTTCGAGATCGACCACAAGTACAGTTTTTAAATTAAGCAACTGACATATGTGGAGACCTAGTGTCACAATTGATATGTTTGTCCTGCACACCGCCCCCCATCCAGTGGGTAGCGGTGGATAGGTTACAATCACTTAGTTACTACCTACAGTTAGCAAACTGAGGATATTTGGCTAAAATTTCTGGTGGCAGATCATTTTGAATAAAATATTTACACGTCGCTGGAACATTGGTTATAGAATTGTCTCTAAATTCACGTATCTTATCGCATTCCATCACATAGTGACGGAGGGTGTGCGAATAATTTTGTTGACAGTTTACATTTGGTCAGGTCTACATCGGCAGATAATGAGAATTCCCAAAGAGACTTGTAACCGAGTCTAAGCCGAACAGTAGTAACATCTAGAAGTCTGTTGATTTTATTGGATGAGCCATAGATGTGTGGCTCCTCTTGCATGATAGTATGATGATAGATGGGATTACTGGTGTCGATTTCACTTTGCCTCAGATCTACAAGATCTTGTTGAAGTTTTCGGTGTACTGCTGCTCTCAGATTGCTCATTGACAATCCAAGGTTACACTCAACGGCTCCTTTAAAGGCAGATTCTTTGGCTAACTTATCAGCTCTATCATGCATTCGGAGGCCAACATGAGATGGAGACCACATGAAATGGACTCTGTTACTATAATTAATAATTTTGTTGTATTTGTGTCTAGCTTCGGACACGAGTATGACAGTTATGTCCTAAAGAGTTGAGAGCAATTAAGGATGATAAGGTGTCACTTACAATTAATGTATTAAGTTTGGAGACTTGTACACATTTCAGTGCAAGGATCAATGCAAATAGTTCGGTCTGAAGGGTAGAGGCCCATTTGTTTATACGGACTTCCCACTCAAAGTATAAGCTATCACCCATTGTCAGGACAACTGCACTTCCAGCTGCACCCGTGGGGCAGTGTAGGGAACCATCAGTGTATTTGATTTGAGAAAGAGAATGCTCTGTGGACAGAGCATTAACATGGCTTAAGGCGTTGAGCTTTGCCTCAAGACGAAGCTTGGGCTGATATCTAATTTGCTTCCGTGAGTTGTTGATCGTGTTACTGAAATTAGCTGTCAAATTGGTATAAAAATTATTAGGCTAGTTCATCCTAACCCTAGCACAAAAGCTCTCCAGAATTTCTTTATTCAAGGTCAACATTGTTCCAGATGGATAACTAATTTCAGAATGTATCAGATTTATAATTTGTACAAACTTTAATTTTAAAATTAAAACTTATTTATCTAGAATGGATAAAATTTACATAATTTTAAAAACTAAGACTTAAAACTAATTGAGATCAAAAGCATGAAATTAATGTAGAAGAAAAAAAAGGAAAAATATCCCTCCCCCTAAGGTAGGGATTCATCCACCATCTCACAATGAACAATCTTGTAAAATCAACGCAATATGGTTTTGTTATAAATAGATCCTACCTTACGAAACTGCTCCCATTTATTGAAACGGTAGTCAGTTATTCAGACAAAGACCTTCCGGTAGATGTGGTATATTTGAACTTCTGTAAAGATGTTGAGAAGTTAACACATGACAGACTGGTAAGAAAATTATAATATGTAGAATAAATGCCACAGTCCATAGTCTGTGGACTGTGGACTAGAATGGGTAAGAACTAGAATGTATCTAGAATGGATAAAATCCAGAATTTATCTAGAATGGATAAAAACTAAAATTTATCTAGAATGGATAAAAACTAGAATTTATCTAGAATGGATAAAACAAAGAGTCGTGTTGACAAAACCACACTAGAAAGTGATGGGATGACGACGTTTCGGTCCGTCCTGGACCATTCATAATCGACTTGAGAATGGTCCAGGATGGACCGAAACGTCGTCGTCCCTTCACTTTCTTGTGTGTGGTTTGGTCTAATGAAGAAATGTGGTGAGTGGGGTACCACAGGGGTCCAATTTGGGCCCAACTCTTTTTGTCATATACATAGATGAGACTTAGATGAGAATATTACAAACCAAATCATCAAATTTACATGTCACTAAGATATATGGTAAAGTGGGAAGC